CATGGCAAAGCAAATTGACTTCTTACCTTTTTCATGGAGTGTTAAGATAATACAAACGACCTATTTCATGATGCATGGTTACGTTACCGAAGAAGAAAACAAAAATAGCATGGTTTTTCTTAACGTTTGACTCGTTTATTTACAAAATCTGTACATAATCAGGACTTTCTAATGATTGATGAGTCCAGAATCGATCAGTGGTTAAAAGAAGTTCCAAGATTAAAGATAAAGTAATTGTTTACATTACTTGAAACATAATTGTGGATAAATGTAAGGTAACCTTAATCAAGCAAGTTCTGTGATAATCATCTACAGGACACCGGGATAGTCTCTGTATCCCATAAAGGCTCTAGAAGAAACTAAGAGCAGGAAATTCTCCATTCTATGTTTAGACTGATGACAGTATGAATGTACAAGTTTGAACAAATCCATTTTTAAAAAAATTTATGTAATGAGTTTAAAAGTAGCTAGAACGATATTATGTCCTTGTGGATCACAGGCTTCATCCAATTCTTCCTTCAATGTGGCCCACTAGTCGTCGTCCACCGTCCGGATGGCTGATGGTGAAAAACAGCAATTATGTTTGTACTCTCTTTCTAAAGTAATACAGACGGTGATCCCACTTCTTCCATCAGGAATTTTGGATGTTTGCTTTCTAAACAGAACTGCCCTTAAGGCGTAAGGTGTTCTGCTGACTGTGTTTACCATTGTATCGTTAGGCGACCGACGGCGTTAATTATTACAGCACACTCTCGCCAGTGAGGATGCCAGCGGGGATATCGAATAGCACGATTTGTTTATCCAGCGATAAATAAACAAACATCTCCAAAGACCTTATTCTAACGCTTTCGTCTGCATCAGCATACCATTTTCAAAGCATTCTTTATCATTGTTTCTCGGTGGGACGCTTCGGTTGCTGTCCTAGACTCCAATACAGAGGAAAATCAAGCAGAGGCAAATTTTTACCGGGAGTCGGTATCAACATACGCCATGAAAAAGGGCAGCCCGATGCACGCTGAAACTCACGCATTCAATGCAAAGGTGCTAGCCATTTAGTTTGCACTAAGTTAATAAACTACGCTTTGCCCGTGGTCGTTTGTAACTGAGTATTTTAGTTTATGTTATGTAGCCATGACGAGTATTATCAGAAGTACTCGCTTTTTATAATGCTCATAGTGTTTACTTCACAGTGCAATCAGGCAGGAGTGCCTTACTCATTCTGAGGGCGATGTTCACAGCCAAGTCGTTTGGTTCCATTCAGTGGGGGGTATTTGTCAATCTTTCGTGGAACAGGGAACGACGAGTAATCCGATTGAGATTTGAAATGGCGATCATGTGACCGTATTGATATATTTTACCTTATTCCGTGAATAATTAAGGCGTGACCCATATTAACTCCATTTCCTGGCTTCTTAATTTGTTTAATTGTTTTTTTTATATTTTGGATAAAACTGTTTCTACGCACATCCCGTCCTCGCAAGGTTGGATATTAAACCTGTGCCATTCTGTTTGCCTTTAACTTAATATTTGAATTTTTCCAGATTTACAACGGACCAGATTCGTCATCTTCGCTGATTGGTGAGTTTTGTGGATCATCCTTCCCGAATACCCCACTTAAGACTACGTCATCAGTGATGAACGTGGAATTTCATTCGAATGAATACATTTCATCTCAAGGCTTCCATATGACCATAAGGTAAAATCAGTATTCATGAACGTATTGCTGTATTGCCTCAAAAAAACAACCTTTTTTTAAGGGAAGTCGTCTACATGTGCAGCGACGACCAGCTGATACTTTCTTACGACGAACCGTCGCTTATTTTGACTTCGCCCGGCTTTCCAGAGCACTATCGCCACAGTCTCGATTGCATCTACAAAATTCAATCTCCTCGCGGCACCAGAGTTCAAATTGACTTCGACCTCGACGCGTTCGATTTGGAGCCACAGATACAGTCAAAGTAAACGATTTCATACTTTCAAGAGTTTGACCAACTTAAGTTGAAGTGTTAATTTTTTGTGCCATTTTGAGGATTGAAAACTGATTTTGACGCCCAATCGGTTATCGTCAATGACAATTATTTTTCATCTACTCATGGCAACCTATCGTTAGTTGTTTTGCTGTTTGAAAGCCCAGTTAGTCAAGAGTTGCTTCTGAAAC